TTTTTTACTTTAGAGAAGTATCAACGATTAGTAAAAACCTAAATATACAAACAACAAGAACAATTCAACAACAAAACAAAAATAAGTAACACAGTGCAACAAATAGCAACATGATGCAACAAAAAACAACAAGATGCAATAAAAAGCAACACATTCAATACAACAAAAAGCAACAAAAAATAATATATAAAAGTATCACAACAACTATGTAGTTCAATCTAGTATTTCAATGTATTACATATATCTATCACATAGTGTGGCTTTCCTTCATATATTTTCTTTATACATCTTGTTAGACTGTCATCATCCTTCGAAGGGGACTTATAAGGTGAACCAGCAAAGCTGGCTCCGGAGTGGGCATACTGTGAGTAGCCAAAATGTGATGTATGGGACAAATGAAATATTGTTCTGTTAAATTTTAAAAGCCTAGAGCCATAGTTTAATCCATGCATTTTGCCATCAAATATCTATTTCAACAAAGTTTAATACTCTTTATATATCTACATCAACCAGATAAAATAGGCCTACATAGCTCTCACAGAGATCAACCAGTAAACCTGATATAAATGGATGAAATTCCATGCTCTAAATGGAAAGATCAAATTAATCTGTTGTAGTTCCAAAAAATGGTGCGAAGGTTCCAATCTGATATTACCCACTAGATTCCCCCAATCAGCTTGCCTCCAACATGAAGAAACACTCGAACAGCCCTTTCGTGATCTCCAATCTGTTTGCCAGGGTAAAAAACCAGCTCCTGGGTCTGGTCGTGAGGTTTGCTCGCGTACTCCAAGCCATCTGCTTAATCTCCGTGGAAATAAGGTTGCTACTTGCAAGGGTCGCACACTGCTCTGCTTTGCTGCCATGGACGACTGGAGCTCCATCTCCCTTCATTTTTCCTCTAGCCCTGTCGCTTCCAGCCATCGAATCGCCTCGATGTCGCCTATCCCAATTATGGTCTGACGACTCTCGTCGCAAAGGGCTTGGTCCGAGAGGACCGTGAACTGAGAAATCAGAGCGTAGTTTCCATACTCTCAAGACCAATTGTTCGTCTCCTTTGAATAGATAGAGGAGATGAAGGGAAAATCGGAGTGCGGAGGCGTGGGAGGAAATCAATGCTAGAGAATGGCGGAGGAGATGAAATTAGGATTGTGCGAATTGAAGCTTTAGAGAAGATGAAGAGATGCGGAGTAGGATTTGGATTTTTTACGGTTGATTGGGTTTAGTTTTAGACTCTATTTTATCTCGTGCCAATAGGTCCAAATTTTGATAATAGTAAAGCCCACACTAACACCATCTTTGTTAATAAACTATGTGCCAATAGGTCCAAATTTTGAGCCCAAATTAACAATCGTTTACTTTGCCTACGATTTTTCGTGACAAAATACATTCCAAATCTAGTTGTATTCTATCTAGATCAAAATTCATGTTAAAATTTATTACCATTGTCAGTTGCATAATCTGCGCCGACTGCGCTGCACGCGGAGTCAAAATCTTACGGCCCTTTAATATCTGTGCCAAATCTCATGAAGCACACTAACATTATTCCTCTTAGTGAGTGTGTTGTGTGAATTGTAGTGGACAATATCTCATCTTAAACGCGAACCATTTTTATAAATCCAATTTGGAAAAAAAAACAGTCGTTGTGCTATTAAGTTCACAAGCTCAACTAATCACTACTCTGTTTCTTTTTAAATTGGCATTGCCATACCACGTAAGCCAGTCTCACTTATCCATATGCAATGTTGAAAAAGGTGGCCTATTTAGATTTCATTTCTAGCTGTTGTTGAAGTATTAGTGATAATAGGATCCCATGTTTTAATTTGGAATTATAGCAAGGTATGATTGAAGTTTAGTTATTTGTTAGAAATTATTGGGAATTATTTGTTTGGCATTCATGATCAAGGGGGATTCAGGATCTCATTTGGTAGGTCTGTTTGGCATATCTACCGTCCTCATTTGTCTTTATCTCATTTTCTTACCATCCTCATTTCCTTATTTTATCCTTTGATTGTATTTACTTGTATTTTAATGATGCTTCTTCGAATGAGTTTGCTTCCACTCTTGTTATTTGATTGGATGTGAGATTTGGATTTGTAATTCCAAATTTCGCATTTCTTTATGTGTGTGTCTTATTTAGCTCACTAACATTTGTTGTTAATTAATTGGAAATTTCTTTATGTGTGTGTCTTATTTAGCTCACTAACATTTGTTGTTATTTAATTGGAAAATTGCGAAAGATGAGAGCTAGTAGGAAGACTTTCAATGACATAACAAATCTTAATATAAATAAGGAATTTTATCAATCTGGGACTTGAAAGATAGACGAATTATCAATCTAAGACCTGAAAGATGAAATGTATCGGTATATGACTCGAAAGATGAAAGACTATCAATCTAGGACCTAACATTTCACAGGTTTTGATTTATTTAATTATTTATTAAATCCATTGCTAATATTTGGTGAAATTTTCTTCACAAAAGTTTATTAGTTTAATAAAACTAAATATTATTTATTTATTTTTTAAATAAAAATAATGATAAAATTTATGAAAACTTAGGTCCTAAATTGATAATTTTCAATCATTCGGGTCCTACATTGATAGTTTTCCATCATTCGGGTCCTATACCGATACATTTCATCTTTCAGGTCCCGAATTGATAGTTCAGCTATCTTTCAGATCCCAGATTGATAAAATTCCTATAAATAAATAAACAACTGTCCACAAAAGCTATCTCACACTCACTTTTTTATAGTGATGCTTATAATATTAGGAAGACTTTCATTACAACCGTCCAGTCACGTATTAAATTCAAACAGAACAAATTGCTTACAAATTTGCATGATTGCAAGACTCTTCAAACAAATGGAATCATTACAGATGGTAATAATGTTCTTGTTATCATACTAACAAATGGATCCCTGCTAATATAGCCTATTTATTTATTAGTAGCATATTGAAACACGAATAAACATTTTTATTTACTTTTAATGTCGTAAAAGTACTTATGTATCACTAGGTCATATTTGTAGAAGAAATATTCAATCCAAATGGAAAAATAAGGCTAACAAATGAAAAAACATTTATTAATTCCATTGAATTGAACAATTAGCGCACTATGCAGTGAATATTTTTGAAGTTATGAAGTTTTAAGGAGATAGACAAAAATATACAAGAAAAGGGAAGCTAAAGTACCTTCGACTTACAAGTTACAACATGTTTTGTTAGGGTATGAATGAAAGGTTTTGTTGCACTCTAACATATACGGACGACTACAGAGTATCTAGTTGTATTAGAACATGTTTTTAATTTTATTTTATTTTTAATTGAGTAACTGGTGTGGAATATATGCCAAATAAAATTGTGCCACGTAATGAATGTATTGAAACATTAAGAAATATAGAGGTACCGGAGAGCTCCCCAATTTAAAAAAACAACTGCCCACAAAACTTAATCTCACTCACGTTTTTATAATGATGCTTTTTTCAACATTATAGTGATGCTTATTGTGATTGTTATAATATCAAGATGAGTTTGGATACAACTGTCCACTCACATATGAAATTAAACAGATCAAATTGTTTACAAATGTGATTACAATACTATCTAAACAAATGGAATCATTACTAATAATATTCTTGTTATCATACATAAAGGGATCCCTACTAATAATCTAATATAGCCTATTTATTTATTCATTAGTAGTATATTGAAACACGAATAAATTTTGGGTAATTTTATTTTGCACCTCATATTATTGTCCAAATTTGACTTAGCACACTGTTTTTAAAAAAACTTTTGTATTTGCACCACAACCTTATTATGAAAAGACAAAAATGTCCCTCCATTAACAATTCGGTTGGCCCTCAACATATTCGTAATTGAGGGTCAGTTTTGTCTTCTCATACGGGGTTGGGGTGCAAATACAATGTTTTTCAAAAACGGGGTATAAAGTCTAATTTGGACAATAAAATGGGGTGCAAACTCAAATTACCCCTAAACGTTTTTTTGTTTAGTACCCCTATACATTTTTATTTACTTTTAAAGTTGTAAAAGTACTTGTGTATCGCTAGGTCACATTTGTACTTGATTGTATTATCATTTCACTATATGGATCTAGCATATAATTAGTTAGCAATCACATGTATAGCTTCTACTTAAGTATATATACAAGAACTTTATATACTTCAACTAATAAGAGTTACAGTATTCTTGATGGTATGAAGATCAACAGTCCAGCAGTCTAACAAGCAAAGCTTTATATATTTAGATCATCTCCTCTCATCATGATGATCATTGAAACTAGCAACACCACTTATTTTCCCAGTTCACTCTACTTGGGCATAATGAATATGTTGATGGCATCACCAATATCCCATATCGATTCATCAATATTTCTAAAACCCAGATCAATCCCCACAACATCACTAAGTCACTAACATACATGAATGATTTGAATAACTGGTTTGAATTATTGAAAGTTTATTGGTCTCGGTAAACTAATCTTTTGAAGTTTCTTAATGGTTTACTACTTCCTCGACAAATGACTTGAGATTCATGTGAGAAGAACCGCCTTCCTTGCTTGCTTGCTTAGCTAAATATTGTCATTTCTTGGCATTCTTTCTCAACTGATCACTTTTCTCTCCACCATCCATCACAATCTCGATGCACCTCTTAAATTCGTCACTCCCAAAAATCTAAACACCGTCCTCATTTGTCTTTATCTTATTTCCTTGCCTTCTCTAAGCCGTGGTAATGTATTACGGAGTAGTGTATTGATGCATATGTTGCTTTTGATTTCCTTATTTTAACCTTTGCTTGTATTTACTTGTATTTTAATGATGTTTTTTCGAATGAGTTTGCTTCCACTCTTTTTATTTGACTGGTTGTGAGATTTGGATTTGTGATTCCAAATTTCGTATTTCTTTATGTTTGTGTCTTATTTAGCTCACTAACATTTGTTGTTAATTAATTAATTGGAAAATTGCGAAAGATGAGAGCTAGTAGGAAGACTTTCAATGACATATCAAATCTTAATATCATAAACAACTGCCCACAAAATCTAATCTCACACTCACTTTTTTATAATGATGCTTATTATGATTGTTATAATATTAGGAAGAATTTCATTACACAAAATCTAATCTCACACTCAAGTTTATTGGTCTCGGTAAACTAATCTTTTCATGATTCTTAATGGTTTACTACTTCTTCGGCAAATGACTTGAGATTCATGTGAGAAGAACCGCCTTCCTTGCTTGCTTCCTTAGCTAAATATTGCCATTTCTTGGCCATCTTTCTCAACTCATCACTTTTCTCTCCACCGTCCATCACAATCTCGATGCACCTCTTAAATTCGTCACTCCCAACAACCTCAACGCCGGCCTCATCCTTCACCCCCGCTGCCACGCGGATGCCCGCCTTCCACACGTCTTGAATAAGCTTGGCATTAGTCCCTTGGTCAGTCCAGTGGGGGAATGCCACCATGGGAATGCCGGAGCATATGCTCTCTAGCGTCGAGTTCCATCCGCAGTGGGTGATGAAGCAACCGAGAGAAGGGTGGTTCAGCACCTCCGTTTGAGAGCACCACCCCACTATTTTCCCCTGTTTTTCCAACTCCTCCCTGCAATCCAACTCTTCTTTTTCTTCGCTTTCTGGTTTCTTCCTTATCACCCAGAGGAATGGCCGTTTTGTTTCGAGTAGCGCTTTGGCGATCTCTTCCTTTTGCGGTTTGCTAGGATATAATAGGCTCCCGAATGATATGTACACCACGGATGCATTCGGCTGTGACCCCAGCCACCTCTTGATATCATCGTTTTCGTTGTTCTCGAAGAGATCGCCTCGAAATGCGATGTCGGAAGGGTCGTCTCCGTCGTGTAAAGCTAATGGAATTAATGGTCCAATGCCGAGTGAAGTGTACCTGTTAAGGATTGGGATTGTAAAGATGAAGAAAATGAAACAAATGTTTTCTTGGTCACACTTTATTATTTTATTCATGTGTTTGAACTTTTGTTTAAATATTTCTTCATGGAGTTTCTAATTATAAGAAGATATTTAAAAGTTTACTTGCAATGAATTGAACTTTTGATCAAATTACACCAATTCAAATCAGACCGTATCAACAAAGTCAGACTTGATCATTGATAGAAATTAATAATCAAATCAATTTTAAAAGACCAGACCAGCTCAAGCTAGATTAAACTCTAACTTAAATGGAAACTTTCCATCAAAACGCAAACCTTCATAATTTATTATGTACCATTTAAATTGAACTATACCTGTTCAACTATTTTTCAAAATTAAAATACGAAGCCATCAATATTGTGTGTGAGTTTTCACAATTCAGTATAACAAACTAAAACACATAAACATAAACTCATGTGCATTGAGATACCGGCCAATTATTTAGTAGGTACTACATCGGTCTCATTTTATGTATCTCACTTTAACTTATCACAATTATTAATAAAGTGATTGAAAAAGTAAAAGTTGTGATTGAGACTTGAGTATAATAAAGTGAAATGTTGTAGGTCACATATTTGTTTCCAAAAATGAAATGAGACACTTGTTTTGAAACAATCAAAAAAAGAAAGTTGGAATACTTAGTTTGTTTGTTGTTTCCACATGGGCTTCTTTTCTAATTTTCTATTACTCCGTATAAGTTATAACTTTAAAGTCTTTTCATTTTTATTCTCATAACTTGGTTTTCTTTTTGGGAGAATGCGTCAAATAGGATTAAACTTGTCAATTTTTTTTAAAAAGACTTGGTAGTTTAAAATTTCACAAATAGATTTTTTTATTCGGAGAACTATCAAATAAGCCCTCGAACTTTCATAAAAAGTGCAAATAAGTCCTTTTATAGGAGGCTCTGTCTGGACATCGCAATTTGAGGCGGTTTCCGGTGGAATTTTTTAATGATATTTTTTGAGTATCTTTTTCATTAAGTCTAAATTACTCATACCAAATTTCAGCAGAAACTTCAATCGGTAAGACAGACAAATGAATTTTTGAAGATAACTTCGCAGTTAGACAGCGCAGTGTATTTCAGAAAATCACTTGACTACCTTCTCGATTGAATTTTTAGCTAAAATTTGGTATGGATAAACTAGACTTAATGAAGAAGATGGTCAAAAAATTTCATCAAAAAATTCCACTGGAAACCGCCCCAAATGGCGACAGCCGGACAAAGTCTTCTGTAAAAGGGCTTATTTGCACTTTTTATAAAAGTTTGAGAGCTTATTTGATAGTTATCCCTTTTTTATTTGTGGTTGGACACAAATTCTTTTAAAGGATTATGCCATCTCCAACAGTTTACACCATTTTTTGCACTAAAATAGTGTAAACATCACATCATACTGTATTTATCTCCAACAGTTTGTACCATTTTCATCACCAAAAAGGAATATTCCTTTTTATTCTTTTTACTTATTTTTCACCTTTATTATATTTATTTATCTAATTATCATATATTTATAGATTAGCCCCTCATTTAATATGTATTTTGGCATTTCACACATTATTTCACAAATACAAACTAAAATACTTCTATATATAATCAATATTTCACGCATGTTTCACGCATTTCACCATTTCATGCATACTTCTATTATAATTCATTCGTTCTTTTTTAATTGTGTCCACGCACAAGTTTGACCATTAGTATCTTTTATTCGTTATTAGTATAAAAAATAAAAAAATTAGATTTTCAAAATTTAAAATGAGAGGAATTTAATAATGTTTTTTGAATTAAATTTATAATACATTAATAAATAAAATAGAGTCAAAGTAGAACACATGAACAATACAAAAATTCCAATGTTGCATTTAAAATAGAACGAAGGTAGTATTTTTTTTTATTTTCTACCAAATTAATAATTTAAATTTGTTCTATAATTTGTTGTTCTAAAAATGGGTCAAAATTATAAGAATCAAAACTTTGGGTAACATTTGAAATAAAAAAATTGAAAAAAGAAGATAGGTGTATGAAATGGTGTACCCCATATTTGGTGTAAATCAAAAGCCTCTCCACCAAAATGGTGAAATGGTGAAAGATATGATGTTATTGTTGGAGCAAAAATTTGAAAAATACACCATTTTGGTGTATGAAATGGTGATCGTTGGAAAAGCTCTTAGAGCTGCTGCCCCCAGGTCGCCGGCCGCCGATCTACTCGAATCTCGCTGCCTTTGCCTCCCTTACTCCGGGAGTTCATTGTCACCACTAAGCCACAATCAACGGACTGACCATTGTGATAAAAGGAACTAGGGAAAAGGACGGAGTAACATTTTGGGAAAACTAATTTTATTAATCAATGAAATCAGCAATAGAAATGTACGGACTAACATCCCAAGCCTATTTGGTGATCCTGTTTTTTCGGTTTATCGGACTTGTGAGTCAACTTTTTCACTAAACACATAATTTTTGATTTCACACAATGAATTGTTTAATAATAAGAAAAGTTAAAGTTAGAGTAACTTTTATGGTTGTATTGACTGAAGTTATTGTAAAGTATCTCGTATTTTAATTTTTTTTTTCATAAATCAACATAATCATCTAATCCAATCGCTTCAGTCAGAACTTCATAAATTTCAACAATCAATCGATTCAATCAATTTCAATGTTAAGAAAAGATAGGAGTATTATTTAAATAAAAAGAACCTGGTTTGATCAATTTTCGGTTTTCTTTTAAATCAATGATTGGAGTGAATATCAGCATTGCAACCGGCAATGATAGTTCAGTACCTTATCTCAACGGCCTTCAGTGTCTCCGCCTCTAAGGCGTCAAACGTGTTGACCAGCACCGTCCGATCACTGGGTTGAAGCTCGTCTAGCTTCTCCAGTTCCTCTTTGAAGATGGGCAGAGCGAAACTATAATCTCCGTCGGAGCCGGAGGGTAAAAAGAACGACGGGAGATCGCCCCTTGAAAGCGGCGGCAGCCCCGGCAGCTCAACCACCTCTTTTTCCATGGCATCCTTGTACCCGTGGAAATAGTGGTAGTAAATACCCAATACGGCGGCGGGTTGAATCCAGAGGAGGGCGGTCGGGAGTTTGAGCTCACGCGCCACGTCTCCAACCCAGGGAAGCATGATAGTACGGACGACCGCCGTGACGGGGCGGCCGCCGGAGACGAAGTCTCTCAAAGCCTGGGAACCTCGGATCCTGAGCTGGGACAAGTAGTGGTTAATGTCGTCTTGATTCATTCTGAAGCCATGCTCGTCGTACCCATCGGAGAAAGGGGTGATGGTGAAGCCGGCGACGCGGGGGACGCCGGCGGCGTTGGCTTTGAGCATTAAGCGGTGGGCGAAGACGGTGGTGAAGAGGGTGACGTGTATGCCCATGCGGATGAGGCGCTTGGCGAACTGGAGAGAAGGGTTGATGTGTCCTTGCGCCGGGTACGTTACTATTACAATATGCGGTGGCGGTGGCGGCGGCGGCGCCATTGCTGGGCTGCGGTGCTGTGGAAGAAAGCTGAACAGGGCGAGATGAGTATTACTGTGATTAATTATAATTATAATTAACAGTGTTGCTCTGAATGATAGTAGTACTACTTTCCGTAATGAGCCCTTTAAGGATGGGAGTATATTTATATACGGAGAGGGCAACCTAAAGAAGGAAGAATGAACAAAAAATCCCAGCTCCTCCACTATAGGCGACGCGAAGATGGAACTAGGGGGGATAGGGGGTGGCCCACTGGCCCCTCACATGTTTTTCGAATTTGATAATTGCGTTTTTGAGTCAATGTACCCTAAAATTCATTCACTTATCTAGCTTGGGGTGTTCTAACGCGTGTGGCTAACATTGATTTAGTTTTCTCAACGACAATCACACAGATAGCTTACTCGAAATCCGCAGTGATTGTGTGTAGATTATAACTTACGTGTGTATGTTAAACTTTTGATGCACACTGATATTACGTCTATCATCATTAGACAGATCGAGTCAACGTAACTTACAAGTTCCTAACTATGCGTTATTAGGTCGGAACATAGGACACCCTTAGGGTTGAGGATTCAAGTGAAGATTTCTATTGACACAAATTTATAATGCATACTATTTGGAGTACTAGCTAACATTTACAAGGGTTGAGGATTCAAGTGAAAATTTCTATTGACACAAATTTATAACGCATACTATTTGGAGTACTAGCTAACATTTACATGCTTATTACTCTCGTATTAACTTACTCTTCTATCCTTATTAATTTGCAAAGTTGATTGAAAAGTTAAATGATTAATTTTGGAGTTTTGAGCTCAATATTTTACTAAAAACTACATAAATGACAAAAAAGTGAGTTTGTTAAATTTTCAGAAATGTGACTAATAAGTTTTAAATTCACTTAATTACCCTAAATTCGTAGTGACTTTATTTTATAGTTACAATATCGGCCACAGTAACACCCGCTATAGTGACACTGTCACAATCGCAACCGCCACCGCCGCCGCCGCCACAGCGACATCTTCTCAATAACAGATCCACATTGACACTTCTATAGTGACTCCAATCACAGTAACTTCTGACAAACTTATCACTGAAAATCACTACCATCCAGTTTTACCATCAGAAACCACCACAGTCCACCACCGTTGGTTACCACTGCCAGCTTCATTTCAACACAAATTTTGACCCCCTCACCCGCCTCCCACAGCCCCCAGCACCACTTCCACCCCCTACCCCGGTCACTTTCGTCAGCCACAGTGACATCGGCCGCAACCACCACAAGAAAGCATTGTTGTCCACCGCCACCAGCCCCTCCCAAACACCAACACCAACCCCCTCTCCCGCTTATCTCAGCCCCCAGCCCCACTTCCACCTAGCCCTGAATTCGATGCCTATTGTTGTCGAAAATTGATGATATTCATTCGTAATCGCCCTCGTCACTTGCCTTCGTAATAGATGATGTATACGCGCTCGCCATCGTCAGATCTCCACCATCGACAAGCCGCCGTCATCGCAGGTGTCGAGATTCGTTGAAGAAAAGGAGAATAAAACATAAGAGTGACATACCTGCGATGTTCATACGGCGTGGAGAGACGACGTTAAGATGGTAACAGTTTGGAGAAGTTGATGGCGCACAAATGGTTGCGGATGATCGAGGAAGAACGCGATGCCATGTTTGAGGAGATAAAAGTCGGAAATGTTATTATGGCTGCAGGGGTATTAAATTCAGTTCAAATATTTTCAGTAACATTTTGGTCCAACAAAGATTCTATTCATATTTTTGTCTTTGATAACTCTAGAACTAATATTTATGTCATTATTTCTATTTCATTAATGTTTGTGAGAGAAAACATAATTTACAAAGAACTAAAATCTCTTATTTAAAAGGAAAAGTTTACAAAATTATTCTCCCCAAATGAGAGGGAGTATTTGAACCATATTACTCTCTCCAGTCCTTAATTAACTTTACACTTTTCTTTTTGGGTCGTCCCATATTAAACTTTACACTTCTTTATTTGCCTTATTTAGCAAACAAATCTACAGCAAATAGTGTCAAACAGTGCCAAACAGTGCCAAACAGTGTCAAACAGTGTACTCTACAGTAAAGTCAAATTTATTTCCTTAATATGTGTGAAGTCAAAGTGTAAACTTCATTAAGGACCGGAGGGAGTACAAAAATGAGTTACGTTCATGATTGATATGGTAAAATTAAATACCCGTATTTCGTACTAGTGCTATCATATTCAAACTCCTCCAAATCGGTGGGCATAGCCCAACTAGTAGCGAGGGAGTGCCACAAGGGTTAGGTCTCGGGTTCAAATTCCGGCAACTGCGATGAGAGGTGACTATGTTAAATGCTAGGACCTCTGCAAGTACCGGGGACAGAGTCCCACTCTCTATCTGTCAGATTGAGATTATAATCCAACTTGCATCCTCCCAACGTACCGTCCAGTCGGGATTAGAGGCCCTCAGGGATGGGGTGTCATTTTTTTTTCAAACTCCTCCAAACTAAAAGGCGTCACGAGTGACGCTTGAGGGGACAAAGACAATGACGTAATGGGATAAACAGGGAACACCAATCATTCAGCGACTAGAGAAAACTGCTGAACGCTTCCTGCTATGGATTACTCGTAAGTATCTAAAAAAAATGGAAAAAAGGGCAAATAAACTCACATACTAACAAAAAAAAGGTCAAACAAGCCCTTATATAGAAGGTTATGTCCGGCCGTTGTCATTTGGTGTGGTTCTCGGTGTAATTTTTTTATGAAATTTTTTGAGCATATTATTCATTAAGTTTAGTTTACTCATACCAAATTTCAGCTAAAACTTCAATCCGTAAGGCTTTCAAATGAATTCTTGAAGATAACTGTGTAGTTAAAAGCGCAATTATCTTCAAGAATTTATTTGAATGTCTTCTCAATTGAATTGTTAGCTGAAATTCGGTATGAGTAAACTAGACTTAATGAATAAGATTCTCCAAACATTTCATCAAAAAATTCTACCGAGAACTACCCCAAATGGTAACTTAAGAAAAAATAAAGCAAAAATAAGAGTGAGTTGTGAGGATTAAAACAGAAAAATGTGGGAAGCTGGGATGAAAACCCGAAAGGGCACCTAGGCAAAATGAGAGAACGATAGAAAGTATTTTCTTTTATTTCTGCAGGATCCTAAAGGTAACGAAAAAAAAAGGTTGAGGTTGATAAAAAAAAATGGAGTTGAAACCCCTCTTGACTGTTATATTTTTAGGGATATACTTTGTGTGTTTCTAAAAAACACTCGTGGATTTTTGTGTCATTTTAAGAACTTCTTGGACTGGATTTGGTTTACTCGAGACGAGTAAAGGTTTAAGTGTGGGGGTATTTGATATGCACTAATTAGTAGTGCATAAATGTATATTTTTATGTTTGATTTATGTGTATTGTTTATCATTTTATTTAGTTTGTAAACATTTGTGTGATTTTAGTTGTAATTGTATTTTAATCCTCATTTGTAAGTTGTAAAGTTTAGTTAGGATTTGTGGTGTTGGAAAGGAAGACTTTGAAGAGAAGAAAACAAGAAATTTGACTGCCCAGGAGTGAAACTCGACCGGGTAGAAACCCCCACCCGGTCGGGTATGATTTAACAGACGAAATTGCCAAGAAAGTCACCGGACCCGGTCGGGTAAGTACTTGACCCGGTCGGGTACCCGGCCAAAGGTGTTGAAAAACACCTATAAATAGCACACTTTTTCTTCTCTAAAAATCATCCCCTCTTCCATGCTCTTTAGCTCAGTTTAGAATAGCATTTCTTTTTATTTTTCTAGCTATGTTTAGTCTCCAAATGAGGAGCTAAACTTCCATTCTTGGTGTTGCTCTTGAAGCTTGTTGATTATTAAAGTTGTGAGTTATTTTCTTAACTTCTTTCCTTGAATATTAATTAATAGTTCTTTCCTTAATACCATCTCTATATTAATGTTGGGGAGTGTTGCTAAGATGACAATTAGTTAACATCTCGACATTAGTTAGAATGGTATTTTCTTCCTCTATATTAATGATGGGGAGTGTTGCTAAGATGACAATTAGTTAACATCTTGATATTAATTATAGTAGGATTCATCTTCTTTAATAATATTCTTCCTTGAATATTAATTAATCCCTACTCATATTTCATATTAATATTTTGAACATTACTTAAAGGATCAACTAGTTTTGTTTCATATATTAATTATTACTAGAAACGATCAACGAACCGATGGTTAATCGTTGTTGGTTTCACAAGTAAGTAACTTCGGTTTATTAATGCACGGTCGTGGTTAATAAACTTAAGAGGGATTAATTTTGTTGGTTAAACCGAAACCGTTGTGTTGAGGTTATCAATCTCAATTGATTTCATCAAGGAGTTAGAAAGATTAAATGCTACTATTAAATCGGTATAAGGCGTTGTTCTATATTTGAGTAATAGTAAGGGTTATTAATGAACGGTTGTTGTTAATAACTACCCTCGATGAAGTGGATATACTCCCCGATTGAGTATTCGAGAGGGAATAAGTTATAGATATAACAATGATCGACTAAAATATATCAACAAGTGGAAAGTAGCAATGCCAAGTCCTTTTTATCTTTGAATTAAAACACATATAGGTTGTTCATCTTAGTTCTTAATTAAATTAAATCACTCAATCCAAATCCCCCCTTTTTATTTACTAAGTATCATAAAAAGAGAAATATTCCTTTCCCTGTGGATACGAACTCTACTACGCTATACTACGTATAAGTGTTTAGTATTGAAATTATTTTGACGCAACGTGACAAAGTGCTCGTCACCAAGTGTACAATAACAAAGACAACAACTGAAGAATAGTCTTGATGATCCTTTGAAATATAAGGGGCAGAAAGTCCCTCTCCAACCTTTGGATTCAAAATTGCTTTAAACATAGTAGATGATTGCATCCCCGCAATCAATTTTTGATTGTACATTGTTGTTTCAGCCTCTTTATCATCAATAACAAGCCTTCCTCCGCTCACAACATGCATCTCAGTGAATGAACCTCCATGTGAAATCATTGGGTATGAGTTTTCTATAAATAATTACAAATGATCCTCCTAAGCCTCTGGACCAGATTTCTTTTTACCAATGCATGGATTTTCTGAAACTGTTTCCTTTGGTTGTCGAGGTTGCTAACT